CTTTCCCTCACTTCTTTACTTCACTGTGAGATTTATAATCTGGTGATTAGTAAAGAGAACATGGGATAACTATTACATTCAGGTATGGCTGAAAACAGCAGTAATTGAAGAGCAAGCAAGAAGAGGTTTGCTTTTGCTCTCTTCTCTGAAGACAGTCATTGTGAAAGACCAGGAGGCATCTAATGAAAAGCCAAAAGAACTTGCCCTAATTTTTTGAAGTTTAACTCTCTGATGAGACTAATTCCATGTTTTATTAGGGTCACTATATAGTGGTACAATAACCTCATTTCCAAAAATCCACAGACCTGGTTTGGCACAGTCAGGATGACCTCCTTAACAATCACTTCCAAATTCTCTAGATTTATTCCATACTGTTACTGTTTTTCCTTCCTTTTTCACAATTTTCCAGAAAATTCTATATTCTGTATGATTCTATATTCTACAGAATATTCTATATAATAGAAAATTCTCACATTTATTATTCAATTTGCCTGTAATTTATTTTTATTTTTCTTTTTCAGCTTTGTATTTTGTAAGTTAACTAGAACATGGGAAGGAAGGATGAGCAGATTATGTGTTGTTTACATTGTATAAAAAAGTAATTATATGATGTATGAAGAGGAAAGCATTTCAAAGTTAGGCATATTGTTTCATAAATGTAGGTTGTATCAACTGCTTTACAAGCATAGGAACATGATCTTTCATGTTGCTTCCATTAAGCCAGATCCACTATTATCTGAACATCAAAGCCACAAGTGTTGCATGCACAGTGGTTTTTCAAGATCTAATACCACCTACAATGTAAGTGCCTTAAACTTGAACCCTTGGAGAGAGGAGACTCAGGAGCTACTCTCCACCGAGCATGGCTACTTCAGATAGTTTTCCCTAGAGTACCAAGCAGTTATAAAAATTGTGAGAGACCGTGTGGGATATCATAGTTTCTGAAGTAATCTTCACACTTACAACAGATACACATTAATAGTGCCTATTAACTGTAGCCAACATAGGATCCAGTTAAGTCAAGCATAAGCAGCTACTGCAAAGCCATAGCTTAGTTGCTTTGTTGTATGGTACTCTCCTCTGCTGTATATATCAGGAGGATCTTTGGGAGATTATTCTATGGGTTTTGGTGCTGCAGTAGGCTAAACCACTCTAATGCTTTTGCAAAAAACATATGAAAAAACATGAAAGGCTCTTTCCTGAAGAACAGCAGATGCTGAATATCTGTTAAGTATGTATCCTTACTACAAGTTATTGGCCCCAGTAAAAAAAGAATCTGATTGAAATTCTTTGGCCAAACTACTCAACATTGCCTTTTTCGGAAGCGTAATCAGGAACTTACTTTCCAATTCCTCCTTCTTCCATCAGAAGAGCTTGTTTGTTCTTATCTACTGTGAGATTGAGCAGAACTCCACAGGCAGAAAAACAGACATCTTGATTCTTGGCATCAAGCAAAGCAATCATGAACTTGTATACTAGATTGCAAAGAAGGAAACAATATTACTGGGAAGATGGACTTACCATACAAGTGGCATTACAACATACTTATTAGACATGTATACTTAGAAAGCAGTTAAATGCAGGATACCCTAACCAAAAATTGAACTTTGTAGCATATTACTGTGACACTTGTAGAGTAGGTGCATGACCCAGAGTAACAGCCATTATTACATCCTGCTCAACACTAGTTTTCTTCAAAACAACATGTACAAAATTCTAGTTAGAAAAATACACAAAGTAATGTGAAAATCCAATCAGAAGAGGTTAAGTTGACCAAACTGAATTACAGCTTATTTCTTAAAAGTACCACCCTCTTTTCAATTGTGCAGTCAGTAGAAACTGCTATGATTTGGCATTTGGCACTCAGAGATGGAAGTTCTTGCCTTTATGAGTGGCAGGGTTGCCCTAGACTGCACCAAGTCCAGCTAGAACTGCTGCAGCCTGGGGCTCCTGCAGGAGACAGGCAAGAAGCAGATGCTAGACATGCAGCACCTTGCAGCACTTGCTGACACTGAACTCAGTAGGCAGTGGAAGGCAACCCCAGCAAGGGAGTCAGTCTTGCCTAATGGAGAGGCAGCCTCAGATCTTCCTGAGTGTGGCACACCAATACTACAGTCTCTCCTAGGTGGAAAATTCATTCCTTTGACCGAGAACTGAGACAGCTCATCAGCACCCGGCTACTAAGTGTCAGTTCTCCCTTTGCAGATACCTTCTCCTCCAAAAGTGGTGGTATGTCCACCCCTGAAAGAAGGGATTGTATATTGTGGCATATCACCTCACTTTCAGCACTGAGAAGTAGATACAAGAAAATTTACAGTGAACTGGAGTTTAATTAAACTTATGACACACCTTCTGTGATAGCAAGGAGTTGCTGTTTTCCCCAAAGCTCTTTAGACACCCAAAGCAAAAGGACTTGAGAAGACTTGCACCCTACTTCACCCAGAGGCAAATAGGAGGTCTCTTTGTTGAGGCAGTCAAACATCTTAAATGCGTGTTACAAAGTGCTAACAAGCTGTCAAACATGGGAATCAAAAATCTGTGATTATGAACGTAAATGAGAATTTAGTTGGATTTTCATTTATATCATATCACTACTAACCTGCAGGATTTGAAAAACTGAAGGAGTGAAGGGAAATTTCAAAATTATAATCTTTAGGAAAAACAGAGGTTTTGTAGTATTTACCTTTGTGAAGGCACCATGGCATATTTTTCCTACTCTAATATTTCCATTTTAATGAAACTGAAATAAAATGGTGTTTATAATGACTACTATAGGATTCTAACATTTGCCTAATTTGCAAAACATCAGAGAATATTGCTTCTGCCCTTTAACTGAGACAGCTTATTAACAATCTTTCCTTTTTAGAACTATGGGCATTTAAAAACAGGACTCCTACAAATGCAAAAGTAACTCACTCTTTTTCTGTATGATGAAGTCACAGATCTCACGATACTGGGAAAGATTGCCAAAGACTCTGAGAGCCTCCACAACTCCATCCATATTGTTGCTCATTAACAGCTTTAAAAGAACTATTGGTTTGCAGAGAAATGAAATAAAAACAATTACTTGTATATCGCAAACATGTGCTTGGCTTTTTATCAACAAATACCAGAATGCAAGACAGCAACAGCAATAAATGTAGTAAATGGGAACAGTTATCTACCTGTCTGGCTGCAGTGAAGCGGGTGAGCTGATGGTAGAATAAGAGCTAAATTGTGCAGGGCTTTGAAGATGAGACAAAGAGCTCCAATATGGGGCTAAATGCAAAGGAACAAATGAGGAGTTACGAAGATAGCCTAAGCATAGTTGTAATAGTGGGAGCCAGTTTGCTATACAGTTTCCTGAGTGGGTTCATGTGAAACTCCGGGAAGACAAAGAAGAAAAAAATGTTGCAACGTATAAGAGAATTGATTTAGATCCTGAACAGATGGTCCTATGGTGGGGGATGCCTCCTAATCCTAAAACTCAAATTATTTTCTGACATTAGCTCTATTTTCTCGCAGTGCTGTTATAACAAGCAAACACATTTTCTCTGAACAGCTACTTAATACTGCCCCTGGTCTGAAGCATTTACTTGCTTGCTGCTTTCCTCCTTAGCAGTTTCAGGTATGATTAGCATGTAACTTCAGCAGATAGAATGAGACCTTCAAGCATTTCCTAGGAAGAGCTACCATCACATAGGTTTTCGGTGCACAGCAAAGGAGTGATGTTACAGAAGTTACATTTATCAGTCTTCTGTGAGTATGAAGTGAACCACTGAAATCAATCCATCATATAAAGGACTTAAATCAGTCAACCGTTAACCCTTCTACCACAGAAAAGTGAAAGAAAAACGTACAGAAAAGAGGTTGGCTTCGTTCCCATTACTTCTGTTTCTGAATGTTGCAATACAGAACATGCTTTGATCTTGTCTTAAAGAGACATCTGAAATGATTATTTTTTGTCTTTGGGATCCACCACTTATATCAAACAGCAAGTATTCTCAAAACGTCTCCTGCAAGTGGAAGCCTGCTGGTGTTCCATCAAAAAGTTTTCTCTCGCCTCAGTTCAGGCAGAGGAAAAGTGATGGGACTGCTTCCACACACTAATGATAAAAACAGGAGAGGGAGAGCGAGTGGGACAGGCAGAGAAGTAATTTTGTTTCCACATTTCTCCCACTAGTAATAAGAGACAGCTGGCTTATAGGTGATAAAATGACTCCTGACAGAACAGCAGAACTGTTACCTAGAGAGAATATGGTGTCTACTAGTCAGTGCACTAGGTTGACCGCCAGAATATTTTTTCCTACTCCTCATTCTACCTGTTGTGCAAACTTCAGGCTCTCTCTCTCCCCCACGTTTTGTCTATTTAGAGAGAAACCTAAGCAAGACATAGACTCCCTACCTTCTGAAAACATTAACACAATGAGTCCCAGAACTCAGATGCAGTTCCTACACATCACTAAAACACGACTATTGTCCATACTGTCAGACGGGAGAGATCACACAACTCCTATACTGTCAATGGATTTATAAGCCAGAAACAGACACAAATCAGATTTTGCAGGTCTAGAAGGTACTAAGAAGAAAAAAACTTTCTTACCATATTCTGATTAGAAGTAAAAAGCAACATGATTATTTTGGCTCAGGCATATGGATTTTGAACAAGTCTAGCAAAAACTGCTAAACAGAAAACATTACGGCAAATTCCTTTGGGGAGGAAAAGAAGGAGTTTTGTCAACAACCTAACTATTTTCAGACAAGTCATACAATTATGTTGAAAAGAATGAGAAATCATTATGGGAAGAATTTAGCCCTAGGAACTTTATATTCCTGCAGTATGATCCCACAAAACACTACCAGTGTCTTCGTCTTCTGTAGTGTCAAAATATAGCACGAATTACTTCCACTTTCAAAAAGCTATACAAAAAGTACTAGTTTACAAAAAGTCCTTACGTTCAGCAATGTGTAGCTTCTTGTGTTGAACAGCAGAACTCCTCACTTTGTAGTACGATAACTTGTTGATTGTTGTCGCAGCATTGATGACCAACTCCTCACAGTCACCAACTGAGTTGTATTCTGATATTAAAAAGAAAACAAAAAACATATGCATATGTAGATACACACACAGAGGAGTCGAACTTAGCAGTGCATTGTATCTTGGAAGCAAACTGAATCATAGTTTACATGGCCACTGTTACAGACAACTATTGTTTTTCAGTAACATGGCAGAAGCTAACATGAACAGACTCAAAAATGGCAATACAAAGTCACTCTTTCCAGCTCTTCATCTACAGAAATCAGTGTGACTAGGGCAACATGGTTTAAAATGTAGTTAGTTAAGACATATTACAGATCCTATTTGCTGTTTTAAGATGGAACTGAGGAGAATCCACATGCAGAAACAGGCCTGTGTGATAGACACAGAGAAACACCAAGGACTATTATACAGAAATGTCAGATACCATGAAAAATGGAGGGGGGGGGGGAAAAAAAAGACGACTTCTTTAACAATATTTGAAAGATTCTCTCTCAAGTCTGAAATTTGTGTACACTGATTTATCTGAGGTTTCTGCCCTCAGAAATCAGAGTGAAGGAAATAAAAGAGGGGTAAGTTCACAGGGAGAGAGAACATTTTGTAGTAAACTGATACGGTGCTCAAGAAGAGGGGAGGGTGGCAGAGAGAAGCTTTGAGGCTCAAAAGCAGTTACACAATGAATAAGACAGTCCCAACCCATGAAGCTCCTACAGGGCTTAAGACAGAATGGACAAAGTTGTGAGTCTGCCTTCTCTAATTCCCCATGGCTAGTGGGTAAGACCGGTAAGCTATCATATAATCAGGTTGATTGTCTTTACATAATAGTTAATGTTCTCATCACACACTAAAATATACTGAGTTCTTTGAGATGTATCTTGTCACTGCTATACTCTGTTACAGGGAGAACAGACTGCCCAGTCCTAGCCTGTAATTAGATTTACAAAGGGATCAGTAAGTGGTAAAGGAACTGCAGTCCTAAGCCTCCGATTGTAGAGAAACAGACACTCTCTTCCACCTGGAAGAGATAAAGGTTGGAAATCTGAAAAAGAAGAAACAACAAGAGGAAATTTTTTGAGGAGGCTGAAAGTTATGGGTGCAGGGAACAAAAAGAATGCCTAACCCAAAACAGTCACAAAACCTGCAAACTTTAAAAAAACAATCAAACAAAAACCCATCAAACACATCTATGTAGCACCTGATAAGAACAGACTTCCCTTATATATGAACTCTCAGTGACATGTATTTAAAATAAATTTTTTTTGCTTATCCTTAATGATCATATCTGCAAATCTGATCACTGAATTAAACACTTCTACAACATCTTTCCCCAGACACTGAAAAGTCACTACCAAAGCAGCAATGCTTCCACTGTCCCAAACAGGTTTTCTACATAAAACAGTTTATGAATATCAGCGGATTGATTTCATTATTTTAGCAACGGAACCGATTTAGTTATGGCTCAACCTAGGTAAGAAGGTAAAGTAGAAAAATCCTAAACTCTCCTTACAGACTGAACAAAGGTAACAAACACAACGGATTTTATTACCTAGTACAGTAACAAGTAATTCTACAACACAACGGGCAGCTGCCAGAGCTGCTCCTACACTGGGATGAATGGAGAGATTGGCCAGCACTCTTATCAGTTTTATCAGAACATCTGCTTCTGAAGGATGCTTTGGGTGTTTTTTTCCTTCCCCTCCTCCTTCATGGCACCATTTCCGTGCATTCAAATCAAGTTCATGGTAGGTCTGGAATAATGATATCAAGGTGTTAACACTTCCTTTTTCTTTAAAAAATTGCTCACGGGCCTGGTTATTCTTTGTTGTTAAATTACCAAGAATGAAGATGATACGGATTACCAGATCCTGCAATAAAATAAATAAACTGTATTACACAGAAAACATCAGAAGCTATTAGCTGCTTAAAAAGATGATAATATTTAATTTGCTTCACAATTCAGTTAATAGCAGGTCCAGAACAACTGAAGGAATGCCAAATACAGCAACTAGAAATAATTTTTATGCTACCATTTTTCATAACGCAGTTTACAGAAGAAATCAACAACATCTGACAGAACTAGTATAGCATTGGGGTGATCATTAATGGGATATACTTAGTATAGGTCTTCTATTTTTACCAAGCCCATAGTAGATTTAAAACATCTTAAAACAGCACTTTATGTAACTAGAATAATCATATGGGCCAGAGTTTACTAATCTTTCAAGTAAGCCAGTGTCAGTTGTGATGGCCAAAGACCATCACCTCTTCTTCTCTAGGCCTGTTCCCCATTGTAGATGTCAAAATACTTCCCCTTGATTGGTTACTGTTAAATCCATGTTAGCTCTTACTCATTTCCTTGTTAAATCCAATTGCTTACAGATAGCTGAATTATTTGTTCTAGATTTTTATCAGAAATGTAAGCTAAATTGATCGGTCTGTTATTCCCTAATTTCTCCTCTTTTTCGTTTTAAAGACAGGCACCCTACAACCTTGCAATCCTACATAACTTTTCAAGAATCCCAGAGACATGACCCTTTCTGTCCCTTTGTAAGCATCAAAGCATAAATTTAATCAGGCCGAGCTGGTTTGAAGACACTTAAATATGCTCCAGCTCATTTTTTAGTGATAGAAGAACTTGGGCTGAAGTAGAGATTAATCATTTGATCATACTTAGGCATTCCACACTTCACTATTCACCGTGGCATCTGTCAATAATTCTCATCTTCTGAACACTGCAGCAATTATTTCCTTGTCTTGCCACTATTAATGTACTATAGAAAGTTTTCTTGTTTCTTTTTACGTCCGTCTCTAGTTGCATCTCATTTTGTGCTTTGTTCTTTTCTGATTTTGATTTTATGTGTTCTTGCTACCCTTTTGTTCTTATCATTGTTAAATGAGACCTACTTTCTATTTTTATATGGTATCTTGAGATCGTACGATTTAACCAAGTTGCTCTCTTAAAGCACTTTCTATCCTTGGCCTTCAGTGGCGTATAGAATTACATCTCTCGTTGCTTCATTTTGGACATACTGAGAAGTAGCGTTTTTTTGGCAAGACTAGTGGATCCTTACTGAATGGCATTCAACAACATGCTCATCTTTTTGTTACCCAGCTATGGAAGAAGAGGAAAATAAATTCTGAAAGTCTGAACTAAGCCACGTATACACTAATTAAAACATTTGCCTCTGTCACCTGCATCAAAATCTACTCATTTCCAAAAAGAAAAGTCCACAGCTTTATCTTAACAGTACAGGTAAAGTAAAAGCATTTCTCCAAGTACAGCACAGCCATCTGCCCTTAGCTGCTAAACTGCTATACTTGCACTAACGTAGAATTTTGCTAAACAATTTACATGCTGTTTTTCTTCACATACAATAGTTATATTTACAGATATTCTAATCCTCCCTGGTATTAATAATGTAAGTTAACCAGGCACAGTCCAACTTGTTAAAGTATACATACTAATACTGAAGGAAAAAAGATGTGTAAGCAGTGAATCCTTTCACACATGCCTTCATCAGTAAGTTTCAGATCTTAAGCCTCTGCCACAAGACACTGGCAAAAACATCCTCTTAGGGTCAAGAACATGAATGCTATCCCTGAATACGAGAAGCAGACGGTCCCCTACAGGAGGAAGAGGTTCTCACATCCCTATATTTAATACAATCACTCCCACTTCCACTTTTTTAACTAGGCATCATATTTTTGCTAGCATCTAAATGTCATCAAGATAAATATTTATGAACATTCTTACTGACTAACCACAAAAGCTTTCACCTTTGCTGGCATAACCCCCAATTCACAAAGACTGTTAAGAATTTGAAACAAACAACCAATGAATCAGAAGAGAGAACTGAAAAAAGCAGGCAGTCTAGTTTGACTCGTTTATATTGACTTTCTAATTTCGGTGAAAAGAGTAGCAGCCCAGCAACAGCTCTACCCAATCACAAAACAGACAAACAGGTACCATACAGCAATCAACTGATATTTTGAGAAGTGTGATCTCAACTGTGCTTTCCACCTACAGGCTAGCAAAACAAACTTATAAAATACTTCTTTTTAGCTAAGCACATCCGGTTTTAATAGCATATTACTGAAGTTTCATTACCTTCCAGTGAAAATTTAACTAGCAGAGTCAAAAAGAAAAGTTGGTACAACTTCTCCTGAGTAGTATAATACTCAAGGGTTTGTCTTATTTTTGGCTATATTTTTTTTAAATGTTCATGGCGTAAGCACTGCAAGAGTAAGAAACGCCACTTAGAATTGCTGTGTAAAGAAATACGTGTAAAGATGAATGGTATTTTGAAACTGCTTGCAAGACTAAACCTGTAGATGGCCCATGGGCCTTTCTGTACACAACAAAAAGATCAGTATAATAAATGAGATTATTATGCATCTCCAAATATCTGGAGTGTTAACTGCATATAGAATTTCAGACATTCTTGCACACTTGCAGAAAAATTACATTTATCAGATTAATTTATATAATATGAAGGTTTTAACATGCATGGCACTAAAGACAAAGTAGAGTAAAGATAGCAATTACACTCAGTTATTTAATCTTTGTATAATGAGGCATTCATGTGAGACATGCTGTCCAGAGAGTGTACCCAAACCTAATTGGAAGGTTATATATAAGACCACACAGCTTCACTTATACAAACAAATTTGAAGAAACGTATCAAGAAAAGCTTGAGGAGAACTGATTTTTTTCTTTGCTTCCAATCTGTGAAGAAACTGTGATATTTTTGTTTTTAAAGTGGTAATGGCACCACACACTCCATCAGCATTTAACTCATGTTTCTGACAACTGGAACATATACATTTGATCACTGATATGAAAGATTTCTTTACTTATCTATTCCTTGCACTACCCTAGTAGCAAAGGTACCCGATGTACTTGCTGAGTCACAGAACTTGACAGCAGTTTATCTTGACAATTAAAGCCTTTCAGTGTAAAGCATAATGAACAGAGGTTCAAATAGTACAGGTTTATTTATCAGTAGGAAAGGAAAGCCAATTAGGTCAGTAGTTTCTAACTAAACCAAGACAAATAAGGGAGGGAAGTCCATTCTAGAGTTTGTACATGTTGGCCAAGTACCTGTTGTTAGTCTATTTGGTGTCTAGACCCTCAGAAAGGGAGGGGTAATATGAAACAAAAATTCAGATGCCAGCAGCTGAGTTCCTATTGCATCTCCAGCTGTAAATGAAAAGTGCTTTCCATGTTACACAAACTTCAACGGAGTTCGTCAAAATTCTACCACCTGCCCAGCAGCATGAACTGCTTCTCATTCAAATCTAATTTACATTTCATTTCCAAATTTGTATTTCTGCTTTATTATGTACCTTAGAAAGAAAATTTGAAAGTTTTATTTGCAGGGTCTGATAGTCTACGTATAGACAAAACAACAGTAACTATGCCATCCTGGAGCTAATATCTTCCAAACACAGTAAGGATTCATCTTGAAGTGACATTCTGGCTGTGAAAATTCCTGGTCAAACCCAGAAACAACAACTGACCCAAAATGAAAATAAATTTAAAGAAGAAAAAAGGGGGTGGGGGTGGGGTGTAGAATACCCTGGAAGTATCAAAAGCAAATGAAGTTCTTGACTGAGGGACCTGAAACAAGGAGCAGAGAGGAGAAGCTTTGCCACAGTGACAGGAGGGAGTACTTTGTCAGTAAAGAGGGAACCTCCTTCCCCCCCAAATATGAATGCATTTGAGAAGGAGAGGCCATTAGAAGAATGTGGTTATATTTCTGTGTATCACACACCAGAGGATCCTACCTAGTAATTTCAACACACAAAAACTGGATCATTTAGGAAAACTTTTCAGAAAGGGTTCATTTGCTCTTAGCCGCTTTTAGCAATGAAGAACTCACGTCCTTAGGTTTGTTTGTGGACATCTGGAGATCTGGGAAAGGTAACATAGAAAAACAAGAACACTGTCACCAGAACAACACTTGATGAAAAGCAGTGTACCCACTCTAACAAAAAATATTTCAGAAATCACAAATTGAAAAAAAAGTTGACAATTATATCCCCCATGGTATTGATCCAATGATTACTGATCTCCCTAGTTAAAATCTTTATTCTTATTACTAGTTTAAATTTGTACAGATTCAGACACTACTTCGTATTATCTCTTTTTTCCTAGATTAAAGGATGGTCTACCAAAAGAAATTTCTTCCTTGTGCAGATTCTATTAATAAGCAACTTGCTAATGGTCAACCTTTGTCATTAATAATTTCCTTAATTTTTTTTTTTAAACTCTAATCATTCTTTTAGCTCTTTTCAGAGCTGTTCTCAAGCTTTCAGCATATTTTGTAGAATTTAATACAAAAAACTAAGGCAAAATATTTTAGTGACAGTGTCTGTCACACGAAGCAGTCATATCTTCTTGTTATTTTTATTTGATAGTCTAATGTTTACCTATCTAATAATTACATTTATTCCCTTGTATCTTTTGATACACCAGAATAGCAGGTTTCGATATGATATATGCCAGTGAAGGCTGGTTGACTACAAACTTCGAGCTCTACATTCCTGACCATTTTATATTCAGCATACATATCACATATTCTGCACTTTCCTTACCACTTTTGCCTTTTCTTTCAGGCAAAAAAAACCCACAACCAAAGTATTCGGAAGATGCAAACACACTATCAGCTCAGCATACTGTCAGAAATCAGTGACCCAGGTGAGTGAGCTGCTGTCGATTATCCCGGGCGGCGCCCTGGTGTAGGTGGTACGGACGCAC